TAATTTTTAAACAAACATTGTAAAGACCTAAGCTAACTTATTTAAGAATTATACTTCTATGAAGACCCGGTAGGCAAGAAATTATAGCATTTGAATAAAGAAAAATCTGATTAACCAGCATTTTAAGAGTAATAACTGGCTAGGCACGGTGGCTCATGCATCTAATTCTAGTACTTTGGGAGGCTGAGGCGGGCAGATCACTTGAGGCCAGGAGTTTGAGACCAACATGGTCAACATGGTGAAACCCCATCTGTACTAAAAATGCAAAAAATTAGCTGGGCATGGTGGTGTGTGCCTGTAATCCCAGCTATTTGGGAGGCTGAGACAGTAGAATCACTGGAACTCAGGAGGCAGAGGTTGCAGTGAGCCAAGACTGCGCCACTGCATTCCAGCTAGAGAGCAACTCTGTCTCAAAAGAAAAAAAAAAGTAATAATTAATATTTATTGAGTTATTTAATGTTCCAAGTACTATTATAAACACTTTATATAAACAATTATGTAATTTTTTTTTTTTTTTTGAGACAGAGTCTCATTCTGTCACCCAGGTGGAGTGCAGTGGTGCAAGCTTGGTTCACTGCTACCTCTGCCTCCGGGGTTCTAGCAATTCTTCTGCCTTAGCCTCCTGAGTAGCCGGGATTACAGATGTGTGCCACCATGCTGGGCGATTTTTTCTGTATTTTTAGTAGAGACAGGGTTTCACCATGTTGGCCAGGTTGGTCTCAAACTTCTGACCTCAAGTCATCCTCCTGCCTCAGCCTTTCAAAGTGCTGGGATTACAGGCATGAGCCACTACATCCAGCCTTGTGTAACTTTTTATTATGGAGAATTTCACACTTAATAAATAAATAAAAAAGCAAAGAGTCTCCATATGTGCATCATCCACTTTCAACTATTTATCAACATTTTAACATTTTGGTATATCTATTTATCTATCACTATTACTCGCTGCACCCATTCTTTTTCCAGAGTATTCACCTATAAATACCATAACATTCAAAGCTTTTAATATATATTAGCTATTTTTGTCCTCAACAAAAAGTAGATATTGTTGTCATTTCCATTTTATGTATGTGTAAACTAAGGCAAACAGTATTAAGTGATCCACGGGGCTCACGACTTAAACCCTGGAGTCTGACTGCAGAGTTTATAAGTATGTCACTTCTGACATTAGGCTGTGGCTTTTGTCTGGGGTGTCCACTCTCTCTCTTTCCTGGACCACTACTAGTTCTTGAGAAAGCCAGCTTACATGTCCAGCAGTCCCATGCAGAGGCCTGCATAGTGAGGAATGGGGCCTCTAGCCAACAGCCAGTTAGGAACTAAGGGCTAACAACAACCACATGGGAGAGCTTGGGAGCAGAGTCTCCATCCCTTATGGAGCTTATATTTCAGTGGGCAACATAGACAATGAAGAAGTAAACAAACAAGCAACCAAACAAATACACACACACACACACACACACACACACACACACGTATATAGTGTAGTTTCAGGTGGTGATTAGGTCATATAAAGAGAAACGAGGATAAAGGAGCAGTGTGTGATGGAGACACTCTTTTTGATGGAGCAATAAAATAAGGTGTGTCAGTTCTTTTGCTTTTGGTACAAATAGAAGAAAACCCAACTGAATGTGGCCTAAACAGAAAAGGATATTTATTATATCACATAACAAGTCCAGAGGCAGGAGGGCTCATAGTAACATAAGGATATCCTCAAGGAACCATGTTTTTTCTGCTTTGCCATCTTTGGTATATCAGTTTTGACTTCCAGACAAAAGAAAAATAGAGACTCTGGGGCAGAGTAAGTTTTTAGCTGAAAAGACATAATCTGAATACAATTTTAGTATAAAGTCTTTAATATTTATACATTTATCAGTATACAAAAGGAAGCACAGACTTCTGAAGCCTGTGTCTCCAACCAAAAGCAAGGATGGGACCTGTAAAGGCAGAAATCACACATTTTCACAAGGAAAAATGATGGCTTGGTTTAAACAACCCAACTTGGACGGTCAGCTCAAAGTTGGTTGGTTATAGCGGAGTTTGGCACAGTTGATTGTTATGCTCCAAGTCAGTTTGTAGAATCCAGATTGTATAGGCACAAATTTATCATCAAGCAGCTTTCCTACTGACTCTGATGAGCTTTCTGTAAAGTGTTTACTTTGGTTCCATCTTCTGGAGCTCTGGGTTATACAGTGTGCAAATCTGAATGCACATACTCAAAGTTCAGCAAAAATTTATTTTATCCTTCTCTTCATGGACATAGATGGCTGCAGCAGTTCCAGATGTCAGATCCAGATACACAATATTTAAGGGCTATCTTGTATTATGCTGTAGCACAGTGATTTATTGTCTTCAGTAATCCCTTTCAGCAGTTAGGACTGAATATATACTAGATACAATGTACTGAATTAAAAATGCAACGTTGTTTTACCCTCTAGCATGAAGCAGTAAAATACTGGTCAGAATGGGAATCATGGGTAGGTCTAATCATGCAGGAACAGGCGATTCTAAATAAATTGCCAAAGAAATTCATTTTGCATCAGATTATCTTCTTTTCTATGCAAATGTTGTTTAGGAGCTCTTGGTTGCATAGCAAATAATCCCTGAATTCAAGGGCTGTTGTGTGATTACTGAACATCTTAAAGAGGTTACTTCCCTACACTGCCTCCCCTACAAGATCCATGTCAATTTCTGTCTAACTACCTGTACAATAGTTGAGGGAAGTGGGCTTTCAGCAAGCACACATTTGGGATAAAAGTAGAAAATAGAGGCCAGAAATCATGGCTGTTTCTTCCAGAGAAAATACCAGAACATATTTAAACTCAGGGGTTGTGCGCTGTTTCTGGGGAATTTGCCCTGAGGCTATTTTGATACAGGAATTAGAGGTGTCTTCGGTGACAGTTTCAGCATACTACATATGTTCTTTATAATTTGGAAACAGGGCAAGAGTGGAGAAAACAGGAGGGGATTGTTAGCCTAGAAAAAAGGTTGAAGGAGTGAGGGGGTTCTAGGGACCACACAGATGGCCTAAACCAGTTTCATGAGTTTACCTGGGGCCAAGTTGAAATGGTTCCTTTCAAACCTCCTGTATCTGGTTGAACCATATCTCTGCCCCAGGTTTTGTGTAAATTTCATTCATTATTGCAACTGGTTTGCCATTACCTAATTCAATTTTTCTTCAATGAATCTGGCAGTGTATTTCTTAGAAACAACATGAATGATGATGAATGATGATGGCTTAAACCAGTTTCATGTCAAATATCCCTGCCTGGTTCAGTTCATGTTTTGGGGGCTTTTTTTTTTTTTTTTTTTTTTTTGAGATGGATTCTTGCTCTGTCACTAGGTCAAAGTGCAGATGATCTCTGCTCACCGCCAACTCCACCTCCTGGGTCCAAGCAATTCTCCTGCCTTAGCCTCCCACACAGCTGGGACTACAGGTGTGCGCCGCTAATTTTTCTATTTTTAGTAGAGATGGGGTTTCACCATGTTGCCCAGGATGGTCTCAATCTCTTGATCTTGTGATTAGCCCGGCTAATTTTTCTATTTTTAGTAGAGATGGGGCTTTACCATGTTGGCCAGAATGGTCACGATCTCTTGATCTTGTGATCGACTGGCCTCAGCGTCCTAAAGTACTGGGATTATAGGTGTGAGCCACCGTGCCCGGCCTTGGGGCCTCTTTTTTTACATAAGCAGCAGTGTATCCCTTTAAAGAGATTTTGAAGCTTTACAGTCCAGTTTAAATTCTGGTTAACTAGTTACACAGTTTAGATTGGCAAAGCAGATACAATGCCAGCATAACATTTATTTATTCAACAAATGTTTGCTGAGTGCCTGCTGTGTGCCATAAATGGGACAGCTGTCTCTTTAAGGTTTTAATAATACCTGTTTAGCAATTATTTATTGCTACTGGAACTGATAGATGCTGTCTTAGTAGAATTTATTTTAGGAATAAATACATATTAATCATGTTTCTCACCTATAACATAATAGTTCATACTTAGCAACATTCAAATATTTTTATTCAACCAGCTTGCAACATGATGAAACCCTGTCTCTACAAAAATTAGCTGGGCATGATGACATGTGTCTGTAGACCCAGCTACTGGGGAGGGTGAGGTGGGAGGATTGCCTGAACCTGGGGAGGTGGAGGCTACAGTGAACTGAGATTGCACCACGACACTTCAGCCTGGGCAACAGAGTGAGACCCTGTCTCGAAACAAAGAAAAAAGTCTGTAGCGCAGTGGCACAATCTCAGCTCACTGCAGCCTCCGCCTCCTCAGTTTCAGGCAATCCTCCCACCTCAGGCTCCTGAGTAGCTGGAATTACAGGCACATTCCACTACACCTGGCTGATTTTTGTATTTTTTTTGTAAAGACAAAGTCTCCCTATGTTGTTCAGGCTGGTCTCAAACTCCTGGACTCAAGTGATCTGCTCTCCTCAACCTCCCAAAGTGTTGGCATTACAAGTGTGAGCCACCACGCCTGGCCAACATTTTAAAAAAAATTTGAAACTATACACGCAGGCTTACACTTATATAGACAAAACCCTCTTTGGTCCACCAGTTCCCATTCTCCTTTCCTTACCACAGAGTTGCTTTTCCTGCCATCTTTACTTTCCACCCTCATACTCTTGGGCCCACTTAGATCAGGCTTCATGCCACCAAAATTGCTCTTGGAGGTTACCCTTAATGACACCAAATTTAATAATCAAATTTCAGTGTTCCTAACAGGACTTTGCATGATTGATGATTCTCTCCTTTTTGAAATATTTTCTCCACTTGGCCTCCAGGACACCATTCTCTTATGGTTCTCCTCCTATGGTTTCAGCTGCTGTCGCCTTTGCTGGTTCCTCTTTGTTTACCTGACCTCTAAACCTTGGAGGGACCTGGGCATATATATATATATGTGTGTGTGTGTGTGTGTGTGTGTGTGTGTGTGTGTGTGTGTATTTATCTGTCTACTTCATGATCTCATCCAGTCCTATGGCTTTTTTTTCAAATTCAGTCTCCATAGAGACTGTAAAAAATTGCCAATGCTGACTATATTTTAAGTTGTCATGGCGGGGTATTGGGAAAAGTTTTCAATTAGCAATAATCATGCCTTGGATAAACCCCATTGGCTATGATACAGTCACTGTGCAAAGCTGTCCTATGGCTTTTTTAAATCTATTTTTTAATTTTAATTTTATTTTATTAAAATAATACATATAGATTTTAAAAAGTCAAGTAGTACCAAAAAGGTTATGATAAAATGCAGCATTTCCCTTCCCCATCCCTCTCTACTTTCTTCCCTCCTTCCTAGGGACAATTTTTTTTAATGCTTTTAGTTCTTTCTTCTGCCATTTACACCTCTACCTAATTTGTAAATGATAGGCATATACCACCTTTAGCTATTATATATCAGCTTCATATTGTAGTAGATGATAATTTATCTGTCTTACAATGCCATTCTGTCTTCTACTATCCTTAAGCTTCTTCACATAGTTATATTACAGTAGTTGGTGAAATCAATATTCAGTGTTTACATAATTACATATATGTGAATATAATTCCCAGCAGTGTTGCAGTGTTTTATGGTTGTGTTTTCAATATATCTTCCAGTTTGCTATCTGCTAGAAACCCATTCATGATCTTAAACTTGGTTTATGGTTTCTTTCCATTGTCACATCCAATCCGATTCTTTTTAAAATATGCTATGTTGCTTGTTATAGTTTCCATTTTCCTGTTGAAATTTTCAAGCATAATTTTTGTGTCTTATAAAATAGTAAATATAGTTGTCTTATTATTGGCGTTTAATAATTCCAATATCTGGAGTCCTTCAGGGCTGTGTTTGATATCACTTATTTCTGTTGGTTCTTGTTTTTGTTATCTAGCCATATGGGTTCTAGTTAGATTCTCTGGGTCCTTGATCTGTCTTTCTATAAGATTTATTCCCTATTTGATGAAGCATATCCATCAAGTTAAGGGTACATTACAATGGCAGAAACATGGGAAGGACAGCAGTTGACATGGCTCTCTCTCATATCACACTGCCCCGATCAGGACTGCTGTGCAGTTGTCATTCGAATATCACAACTTTGCCACCAACATGGAGAGTCTTTTCCTTTTCTCTGTGTTGAATCTCTTATTTTCTGTATTCTGTATTTTCTTCTTTCTCAGATTACTCTCTTAGTACAGGCAATGTGATTGTGTGATGTAAGGTGATTGTGTGATGTAGTAGACAGAATACTGGTTCCCTACAATGTCCACATTCTAATCTCTAAAACTTGTAAACATGTTTCCTTAAATGGCAAAAGAGACTTTGAAGATGCGATCACATTAAGAATGTTTAAATAGGCCGGGCGCGGTGGCTCAAGCTTGTAATCCCAGCACTTTGGGAGGCCAAGGCGGGTGGATCACAAGGTTGAGAGATCGAGACCATCCTGGTCAACATGGTGAAACCCCGTCTCTACTAAAAAAAAATACAAAAAATTAGCTGGGCATGGTGGCACGTGCCTGTAATCCCAGCTACTCAGGAGGCTGAGGCAGGAGAATTGCCTGAACCCAGGAGGCGGAGGTTGCGGTGAGCCGAGATCGCGCCATTGCACTCCAGCCTGGGTAACAAGAGCGAAACTCCGTAACAAACAAACAAACAAACAAACAAAACAACAACAAAAAAAGAATGTTTAAATTGGGAGATTATCCTGGATTATTTGGGTGGCCCCATGTAGTAATGAAGGTCCATATAATAGGACAGTAGGAGGTATATGTGTGCATGTGCATGTACATATGAGAGGAGACAGACAGACAGAGACAGAGAGGGAGAGACAGAGAGAAGAGAGAGATGTCCTGGTTTTAAATACGGATGTATGAAGGAAGGGGCCACAAGACAAAGAATGCAGGCAGCCTCTGGCAGGAAGGAAGATAAGGAAATGGATTCTCCTCTAGAGCCTCTGGAAGGGAAACAGTCCTGCTAACATCTTGATTTAAAAATTCTGATCTCCAGAACTGTAAGAGAATAAATTTATATTCTTTTAAGCTACTAAGTTTGCAGCAATTTGTTATAGCAGCAAAGAAAATCGCACTTTGGGAGGCCGAGGCGGGTGGATCACGAGGTCGAGAGATCGAGACCATCCTGGTCAACATGGTGAAACCCCGTCTCTACTAAAAGTGCAAAAAATTAGCTGGGCATGGTGGCACGTGCCTGTAATCCCAGCTACTCAGGAGGCTGAGGCAGGAGAATTGCCTGAACCCAGGAGGCGGAGGTTGCGGTGAGCCGAGATCGCGCCATTGCACTCCAGCCTGGGTAACAAGGGCGAAACTCAGTCTCAAAAAAAAAAAAAAAAAAAAAAAAAAAAAAAAAAAAAAAAAAAAAAAAAAAGAAAATCAATACAAATAATAATTTTTTTTCAGTTTTTTTTTTTTTTTTTTTTGAGATGGAGTCTCACTCTGTGCAGAGGTGTGATCTTGGCTGACTGCAACCTCTGCCTCCTGGGTTCAAGCAATTCTCCTGCCTCAGCCTCCCAAGTAGCTGGGACTACAGGCACCCACCACCATACTCAGCTAATTTCTGTCTTTTTATTAGAGACGGGGTTTCACCATGTTGGCCAAGCTGTTCTTGACTCCTGGCCTCAAGTGATCTGCCCACCTTGGCCTCCCAAAGTGCGGGAATTACAGGCATGAGCCACCGTGCCCGGCCTAGTTTTTTTCAGATGTTGCAAGTGTCTACATGCAATCTTCACATTGCCAGTTTGGTTGGTTATAGGATTCTAGGTTGGAAGGCATTTTCCTTTACACTGAAGATACTCTCCCATTGTCTTCTTCCTTCAAATGTTGCTGAGAAGCCCAGAGTCATTTTTATTATTATTCTTTATACATGGCCTGTTTTCTACCCCTCTTCAGACACTTAGAGCATTATCTGTTTGTCTCTAATGTTCTGATATTTCACAATGTATGAGTCTATAAGAGTAGAAAATTCCACGTCAGAAACCTGGTGCTTTAAAATTCCATAAATATAATGAAAATGCAAGCACAAATTGGGGAAAATATTTACAACATGAAAAATAAAGGGCTATTACTCTTATAATAGAAAGCACTCTTACAAGAAAAAATAAATTCTCCAAAAGAAACATTCACAATAGTAATTCAATAGAGTACATCTGCAGGTCTAGAACTGAAAAGAAAGACAAAAGAAAAAAGCATGAAAGAGTATAAATAATTGGCTAAGAAACAGTTAAAAATCCATAGCCTTACTAGAAATAAAATAAATGCAAGTTAAAACTGTAAGAAAAAAAGTTCACCTTTTTAATTGGTGAAGATTAAAGAAAACCCTCAAAATAGCTAATGTTGCTTAAGATTTCGGCACTTACATACACTGCTGTTAGAAATGCAGTCAACCATCTCTTCTAGATGAAGCAAAATTTTGTAAACCAGATCAAAAGCTTTAAAAAATGTCCATGTTAGGTCGGGCACAGTGGCTCATCCTTATAATCACAGCACTTTGAGGCTGAGGTGGGAGGATCACTTGAGCCCAGGAGTTGGAGACCAGCCTGGGCAATATAGTGAGACCCCCATCTCTACAAAAAATAAAACAATGAGCTAGGCATGGTGGCATGTGCCTATAAGTCCTACCTGCTTGGGAAGCTGAGGCAGGAGGATCATTTGAGCCCGAAAATTTGAGGCTACAGTGAGCTATGATTACACCATTGCACCTGGGCGACAGAGTGAGACTCTGTCTCAAAAAAAAAAAAAAAAAAAAAAAAAAAATCAGTACTTAGAATTTATTCCACCAAGATAATGAATGACAAATGTGCATAAAGAGTTAAGTACCATTTTGGCCACGTCATTTACAACATTAAGAAAGTGGAAACAGGTCCGGTGGGGTGATACATCTGTAACTCCAGTGCTTTAGAAGACTGAAACAGAAGGATTGTTTGAGGCCAGGAGTTCAAGACCAGCCTGGGCAACATAGTGAGATCCCATCTCTAAAAAGAATTTAAAAATTAGCTGGGCATGGTGGTGTGTGCCTGTAGTACTACCTACTTGCGAGGCTGAAGCAGGAAGATCATCTGAGCTCAGGAGTTTGACGGTACAGTGAGCTATGATTGCACCACTGCATTCCACCCTGGGTGACAGAGTAAGACCCTGTTTCTCTCAAAAAAAAAAAGAGTAGAAACAACTTAAATACTCAACAATAGAAAACTGGCTTAAATTTCCTATGGCAGTGGGATGTTTCAGCAGTTTTAAAGTAAATAAGGCCACTAGGCTGAGGTTGTCTCTGCACCCTGAGCCCTTACATAAGCAAGCTGAAGCCTTATTTTTAAAAATTTAATTATGTATTTTTTTGAGATGGAGTCTTGCTTTGTCACCCAGGCTGGAGTGCAGTGGCGTGATCTCAGCTCACTGCAACCTCTCCCTCCCAATTTCAAGTGATTCTCCTGCCTCAGCCTCTCGAGTAGCTGGGATTACAAGTGCACACTACCACACCCGGCTAATTTTTTATATTTTTGGTAGCGACGGGGTTTTACCATGTTGGCCTGGCTGGTCTCAAATTCCTGACCTCAAGTGATCTGTCTGCCTCGGCCTCCCAAAGTGCTGGGATTACAAGCATGAGCCACCACGCCCAGCCCAAAGCCCAGTTTAGAAGGTATTTCTTATAACCGACTTAAATAGACAAACAAAAACAAAGCCCTAACCAAACACAAACAGCCATTGAGTGGACTGGCTGTATAACTAGGAGTCTCCCGTCAGACTATATCCAAATAAGGCAAACACTTAACTGTAGCAATTCAGGTAATTTCTTTACTTTGCTTCTGTGTTCAGCCTATAAACGGTAGCTGCTTCCAGAGCAGAGCCCATAACCTCTTTTGATCTTGGTACTTCCAATTCATGAATCATTCTTTTACTCAAATAAATGTGTTAATTTCATTTAAAGTTTTTTAAACAGCAAGACAAAGTATTAAATGTATCATATAAAAAGTGGTCATTATTGGTAAGAAGTTGACTCATGGGGAACTGAAATGAGAATTGGTGAGAAACAAAATTCTCTGAACTTGGCCGGGCGCGGTGGCTCAAGCCTGTAATCCCAGCACTTTGGGAGGCCGAGGCGGGTGGATCACGAGGTCGAGAGATCGAGACCATCCTGGTCAACATGGTGAAACCCCGTCT